GCTACGGTCGGTAACACTCTGTTCTGTCCCGTCCACAATTATATGGCGCAGTACACAGTTCTAACGGTTTGTGTGGTGCATCGACATGAGGACTAATGCTATGCTTAATGGACATGCTAAATTATGCCAGCAACAAAGTAGATAAGAATAAATACATTAGAAATGGACAGAAATTCAACACGTGGTGCTGGTCATTATGTAAGCGCTCGTGTCGGATAATAAGTATAAATACTTAATGGAATTCAGCTGCAGTGTTATAACCGCTTTGGATGAAAGGTCACGTGATTGTTCTTGTACTATGGAAGAGAACTCAGTTCTTGGGTGGGTGTATGCAAACGTATTTCATATTCATTGGACTGTGAATAACAAGTGCTAGATGTTTCGCAGTTCACTTTAAACGATCGTTTTGATCAATTAAGACGATGGTTTAAAATAAATTATTTCTTTATTCTTTTTCAGCTATAGAAGCCGATATGATTGGATTATTTATGTTCTATTTCTACCGTAAAGCGATATATAATAATATTGTACAGCTTGAAGATTTTGACGACTGCAAGCGTTCATTTTTACGCCCGATTGTCATAGAAAAGCATGTCATAGAAGCGGGTATCGCACGACAAATTGCATTATAATGCATATAATGTGTAATTCAGTGTTAGATCAAGACTTACATTTATATTGGCGAAAGAATGCAATTGCGATTCTCGCTCCCCGGCCATTGGCAAGGAGAGGAACACCGAGGTGATTTTTAGTCGGTAAGAGTCCGACAGACCCCTTCGCCATTCCCCACTGGGCGAAGGACATCCATGAGGATCTTCCACCCCGTTAAAAAAAAAAGACTTACATTTATATGTTTTCTTACTCCTTTATTGCCAATGAGAATATTGGCTATTGAATTATTCATATTATGGCATTTATTCAAATGATTGCTTGCTTCCTGGATATAGTAGTCTTATAACCGGTTAAATCATAAATAATCGTATAGCTTTGTTCACTATGCTCCATAATGCGTTAATTAGGAGTTATCTAGCTCCTTAATTAATTTTAAGATTTAGAATATTTTGAACTAAATTAGATGTACTTAAATTATTTAACAGCAGGTCTACTTCATACTTCATTAGCAAACTGATTTAAAATTCTAGACATCTGTTTTGGAGTCCTGATTAAGAGACATTGTAAAACAATATTTGGTTAAAATCTTTAAAAAACGAGTTTCTCAAAGATTTAATCGTCTATTTAATACCTGATTTAGGCCTACCTTACTTCGGTCTACTTTATTGAGAGTTTATTTAAATTATAAGTTTAAAGTTTTATTACTTCATTGTAAAATATATTTTGTTGCTCTAGACTAAGTTTTAGAAGTACGACTCCACTTACTGGCAGTACAATTCTTAGGTTAACTCAAACTGTACCGAAGTATATGACTTAGAACATCGCGAGACTAATATAATTCTATTTCGAATTCGAGATCTTTTGACAACGTATATGTCTCAATTTATGCTATTGGCTTTAGAGTCCTTTAAATTCAGCGCATTGATTTGAATAGGCGGCGGTTAGATTAACTACGGTGGGAACCACATCGGAGGATTCAAGTCGAAAATTTTGTAATAGAGAATGAACATAAAGGGCGACTCACCAGGGTTGTCTAAGAATATTTCTTTACTGTCAAAGAGTTTATAAAAATGACTAAACAGCGAACAGTAGTTTTTTCCTATACTTAGTGTCGTCCTCATTTCACATTGTCGAATGTTTAGAATTTTAAAGAAAATATTTTGTAAGTGTGGATTTTTGGTATTTAAGTTAGATGCTTCATAAATACAAAAATACGAAACAAATAAAAAAAAAATAACGATGGTATTCAATCAACCTATCTTTCTGTAATTGTAGGCGATAGCATAAGCACGAAAAGTAAAAAGTGCTATTGTCACATTAAAGGCGTTGCGAATTTAATCCAAATAATGGGCTAGGTTATTTATTGCATTCTACACACACATACGTCGTTCAATAAACCCTACACCTTTTCAATGACCTAAATACTGATTTATTTATCAGTACTGAACCCTGCATATAACTCATAGGGGCGATGGGAGGTACGGGAGTGAGGTAAAGAGGGAGAATGGGGAGAAACGGAAGATGCGAGCAGGAACACTTTTACGATTTGACAATCGTAAAACTTGGAAAACAATTCTGTTGAATACGTTATTTTAGAGAGTAAATCCTATTTTCATATATTTTTGAGATAACTATATATTTTTATTGTATATGGTTTGAAATAGGAAAATAAATACCTTTTTGAACGATATTGAAAAGGTTTTGGCTCTTATAGCAATATAATAGCTCTGTTAAAATTACCTACGCTAAAAAGGGCAGCGTGTCCGAATATTGTTGCTAAAGGAGGTTGGCAGAAACTGATGGATTGCACACGGTAGTAAACCGAAGGTAGTTTATCGTTTAATTATTCTGCATTATTTTTGCGTTGAAACAAACTTCAAAACGAAAACGGAATTCAACTTTTATTATTTATTTATCTCTGCCAAATAATTAATTGAATGCATTTACGATTGCTAAGAGACATTATTGTCCGGGATATACTCTCTACTATAGGTATCAAACTAGAATGTTAAGAGTCCTGATGCCCAACAACCAGTGTTAACAAACACAGATAGTGTAAAAATAATCGTACAATAAAAAGTCTACTTTAGAAGCTTTAGTTTTAATTAGCAGACAGAAAAAAACGCTTTAGTCAGTTTTCATGGCATAAAAAAGAAATCTAATTCGCGAATCTGACTCCCGTTCGTGTCACAGACAGGCCTACGCCGATACACATTGGATGCGACGGCGACTAGCTACCAATATAACCTGACGATGAAAAAAGGTTTAACCGAGTCATCTTTTTTTCACAATACTAGTAGTTTTACTATAAAATAACGTGTCTGGTAGATTAAATATCATTATTAACTAACTCAATTTAATATTAGGATTAAACAGTGTCCTAAAACTTTGAAATTGAAATAGTAAGTATCGCATAAGAACCCCTTTAGCCAACGAGCGTTTAGTTTAATTAGAGAAATTGCCGAAGATAATAATAACTAAGCGACCCAGGCTAATAGAAACTACCACAAACAGGAAAACATTTAGAAAACTTATAAAATTTTCCAGTAAGTATTAAAGTAAATATTTATAGAGAAGAGCTTTCAGAAGGATTACGAAGGATGTAAATTATATAAAAATGTCAGGTGATAATTATTGTGGTAATCGTAAGAACGAAATCCGTGGAAAGCTATGTTATTCACAAACTGCTTGTTATCGCGAGCAAACCTACAAACCGTACGATTTTAATCGGCCTTAGTTTTGTTTTTACTTTTCATCACGTACTCGCGACTCGATCTGCTCTGCAGCGGCTGCACCGTCGATGCAAATCTATTTAAAGTTATTCATAAAGAAGTCTTCGTGTTATTGAATGATCTTTCTGCCTTTTACGTTATAATAAGGAATGGGATAAAAGAAGATAAAATGAGAACGAATAAATAATCAAGTGGAAAACTGTAGTGCGGATAAGAAAGTTAAACCACTTCATGAAAATCCTACCATGCATTTATTTTGAATTAAATAAACTTTCGCTTGCTAAGTTACTGGCAATGTATAATTAAAATGCATGATTAATTGTCCTTTAAACTAGTATCAATAGGAATGCTCTAAGTAAATATCAAAGTAGAGTTGTCAGCAAATAGCTGGCATCGGGGCTCACAACAGAGATAATTAGGCCAAAATCCGCCTGTATAACAGACTAGCTGACCCGCGCAACTTCGTCTGCGTCTCTCAATAGTAATAAATTTTCTCCGTTTTTTAAACATTCTTCATTGGTGCTCCGCTCCTATTGGTCTTAGCGTGATGATATATAGCCTATAGCCTTCCTCGATAAATGGGCTATCTAACACTGAAAGAATTTTTCAAATCGGACCAGTAGTTCCTGAGATTAGCGCGTTCAAACAAACAAACAAACAAACAAACAAACAAACTCTTCAGCTTTATAATATTAGTATAGATATGTATAAAATATAACGAAACATGTAGTTTCTAGGTAGGTAAACATGTAGGTAATTTGGTTCTCATCATCATCATCAGCCTATTGCCGTCCACTGCTAGACGAAGGCCTCCCCCGTGGAGCGCCAACCACCAATTTGGTTTATTAACGACAAATTTTGCAAATAAATACAAATCATCACGGCATATAAATTCATTTTATTTATCAATGGACAAAATCGCCTACATAAAGATCGGTATTATTAAGTGTCAATTCAACACTCGTCAGTCTTTAAGTATGGACGACTTACATATTATTTTTAACAACTTTAATACACAAAGCTGTAGAAATTACATTGAAATGAGGGTTACGTCCGGCTTATATGTATTCATTATAATTCAGTGAGCAAGTACAAATATTTTTGCTTGCAGTCGTTTTACGAGCGAGTATTTCATGTGTGAAATCTGCACGATAATGTTTTGTGCTTTTTTCACAATTTATTTATCCGCGTCGTCGACAGGTGGCGCTGCCGGGCGATCAGTGCCCGCGATAAGTGTATACTGGCTCTCAATATTTCATTCCACATTTTATTTCGGTGCATTGAATTGTTTACTGAATGCGTATGTATTGTTAGAAGAGTGTTTTAGTATACATTTTGTACTAACTAAACAGTAAACAAACATGCGCTTCTATTGGTCGGTTTTTCCTTATTGCCTTTACTATTACTCACACAATTAACAAGTAGGTAACACTCGTTTTAGATCTTTTGGTCTTTATGTTGTTACATAACAGCAGGAAATGGTTGATTTTGTTGTTAGTATTTTTAAGTACGTATGCTTTTACAATTATTAATCTACAGTGTTACGAAACGTACGTACAATAGAAACTGGTAATTATATACATTTTATTTAGGAGACCATTTACCTACGACGCTAGGGAAATAACATAGCGAATATATGATTATTTCGTTACTTACCAGGCTTAGGAAGGGGAGTTTTGAGATCGTTGGAAACCAACTGGGGGTTTTCTTGAACCTGAAAAGTACACATATGTTAGTTGATATGAAACGAGTTACAATGAGTCTAAGAAAATAAAAACGTAAAGGTTTACATTGATCATGTCATTATAGAGATGACGTCTATGCGATCTAATCAATTTTAGTGTGCTATCATCACGGTTCATGTGGCACCCAGTGTGGCATCATCTAGCCACGGATATGACTTGGGTATAGCGATTTTTATTCTTACAATTATAATAGAGTATTGTAGACTTAAAGGCGAAAACAGTTTTTGTCACTAAGAAAACCTATCTACGCAGTGACTAAGTTATCTGTAAAGGTTTCTTTCTGCATCATAGTCAGAAGGTCATTGCTCAGCGAGACGTCACAATCCGTGTGACAGAATGCCGTCTTTAGTTTTTTTTACGACTGTCCTCATATTTAATGGTTTGTGTATCATCATTAGGAAGAGGACAGTCTCTTGTAAATCGAAAACAAGTTTTTATGTAAAACATGATGCCTTTGTAGATTTTAATTCAATTTGTATAGCATATTCGGTTCGATTCCCGCTCAAGTCAAACATTTGTGTGCATGAACATTTAATGTTTGATTTGGTCTGGGTGTTTCTATGTATAATATGTATGTATTTACAAAAAAAAAGTATATATGTTTTTATATCAGTTGTCTAGTACCCATAGTACAAGCTCTGCTTAGTTTGGGACTAGATGGCGTTGTGTGAATGTGGTACAATATTATTATTATATGCTTTATCTTTACACATATTTTGATTTATTGTTCATGTGGTATTACCATTTAATATTAAGATTAACCTGTTCATCAACAGCCTTTAATAGTCCACTGCTGGACATAAGCCTCTCCTTAGAAAGGTGGTTTTGGCCTACTATACCACGTTGGCCAGACGGATTGGTATAGGGTTTGTGTTATGTTTTCCTTTTCTCTGCAGTGCTGTTATTCTGCGTAGTTTTTCCCTTAGTCGGCTCTTACGACACCCACGGGATGAATAGGGGTCTTGACACTCTGTATTCTTAATCCGTCACCACACGGATTTGTTGATTAACCTGTTAGTCTATGTATAATGTAGTTAGATAGATGATAGTGGTTAGCAATTCTGATCGCAGAACCAGAGTTTGTGCGTTCAATTTTCGGTCAGAATATTAATTGTGTGATGAACATGAGTATTTGCTCTGTGTCTGGATATCTATAATATATATTTAGTATTCATGTATTTAGAAATATATATGTAAGTATATTTATATGCATTCATGCTACCATAGTATAGGCTCGAGTCGATTTGGGATCAGAAAGGGTGTGTAAAGGATATGCCAAATTGTTTTTATTAAAATATAGTAAACTACTACATTTTATATGAGATAAATGGTTTACAAAGTAACATAGCCGCTACCACAGGCTGAGGCATTGGTCAGACACACGCGTACAAACTATATCCAGTCTCAGAGGTATTTGGTCTGTCACCTCACACCTTTTAGATTGGAGTTACATTATTACATTAAAAATCTGTTCCCTCCCACTGTTTAGAAACTGACCGGACAGCGGATGATCATAGTTCCTATAAAATAATTAAATATAACAAATAGCGCATCATAACAATAGTATGGTATGGTAATTTACATTATAGACCTAGAAATAACCAACTCCTCCAATTTTCTTCTAAATAATTTCGTTGCGGGTTCCAAGACTGTTTAATTTTTTTTCCTGGGACTTCCCGAGTTTCATAACTCGGTGTTTTCGTGGGTCACTGCTGTTGATCCTGGTGTACAGGAGTTACAGTGGTGGGCGTGTGGGATTAGTCCCATTAAAAGACCTAGAAATAAATTCATAAAATCTTTCCTAAATTTCTAAGCTAAAGGCTAAAGGTTGTCAAAAGCTTAACATAAAACCAATAACATTTTGACGTTGACAGTTCGAGTTACGTACACACTTCACGTCACTCGCCCAGAGAAAATTTAGAATTTCATATTTGTACAGCGTACAATGTAAATGGTATCAGTTGTTTTTTTAATGTTACTTTTTGTTGCAACATAGAAATTGCATAAAATCCTTCCATAATAAGCTCACGTTTTATTGCTATCGAACGTTAATTTACATAATTTCCATACGAAACACCGGTCGGATTGAAATGAATTCTTGCAATAGAAACATTAAAAGTATGTTAATAGGTTTTCGTTTCCGATTTTTTGGATAAGAAGTCGAAAATGTATAATAGGTAACTGAATGATATCTTTACAAAAAAAGAAATTAGGAATTACATCATCATCATCATCATCAACAGCCTTTAATAGTCCACTGCTGGCCTTTAATAGGCCCCTTCTTATAAAGGAGGTTTTGGCCTACTATACCATGCTGGCCAGACGGGATGGTAAGGGTTTATATTAAGTTTTCCTTCTCTCTGCAGTGCTGTTGTTCCTTCTCTCTGTTTGCTCTATTAGTCGGCTCTTACGATACCCACGGGATTAATAAGAGCGGTGACACTCTGTATTCTTAATCTGGAGGATTAAGAATACTGAGTGTCACCACACGGACTATTACAACTTACTACGAAATATATACGAATTATCCCATTGAACATAGGGAAATTCGTATAAAACTATGGATTTAGATAGCGAAGTATCCTTAAGACACAAAAATGAGAAAAAAAGTTGTAAAAGTTACACATCAGGTTAGACAATTTCTAGTTAGGCTTTCGAAGACTCCTTTCAAATAAACTTTACAAAAACCGTACACATGCTGCATTTAACTATGTGGCACAGAAGATTTTAAGCCTATTGGCCTTTACCTTCAACATCTAAATTATATCTAATTTATGTAAGATAACACATTTATAGCATCAACACTACATAAAGCAGATTTTACCTAATTTAAAGTTTTATCACAAAGTTATGAAATAAAGAAAGCACGAAATAAAGCCGACAGTAATTTGGACGCTTGTCAACAGAATGGTATTTGTCTTTGAATGAAATACAAATATTTTTATCGTTGCGATAAAGATTACACATACATTTCGCCATATTTTTGCTAGTCATATGACCTCTGAGCCTATCTGGGTCTACATTTATAATTCAAATAGTTTAACAATTAATTCATTTTAGTATGTAGTTTAGTTACAGATGGACACAACAATTCTCTTGAATGTTTCAATCGAAGCTTGAAGATTATAGTTATTTGAAGAAAGCAGTCAAAGAAACCGTAATAGTATTACGGGCGGTGAGTTTTATTAAGAGTGTTGGGGTAATTTTAATGTAATTCGAGCTGTCTGGTGTGAAATTTAAACTCGATTATAGACAATTGTGAGTTAGTTCCGGCAAATTTTATTTTCGGATGTTGAGAATTGTCACAAGTTCTACATAAAGAAAATGTTATAAAATGTATATAAGACACCGCTTTTTTATCGTAATGAATGTTTGTTTAAAGAGCTAGATGTATGAAAAAGGGTTTTACACCGAATTTTCAAAAAAATAGGGACTTTCAGACACGATAAAGTTGAATCTAATTCGCTCGGCAATGAATGTTAAAAAACAAGCCTTTTTTTTTAACGTGTGGAAATCCCCTCGGACCGTCACCCCTCCGGGGTTTGCGGCGGGGTGGTGTGTCGGACTCGGACCGACTAAAACCACACGGTGTGCCACTCTGCGCCTGTAACAGGAGGGATCCGGGAACAGCTGTTGTTAAGACATCCGGACCCCTCCTAGCGCCAGCCCGCTCCTGGTGCGGGCTCCGTCTCAATGTAGATGTTCCTCTCTTTAGGCGACGTCCGGCACACGCGGACGCCGCCCCCTCGCGGCTGGCCAACTAATGCGGGTGGAGGGGAAACCCACCCCGTCCACCCGCGGCCACACTCAGGGCGGCATGAGGCTGTGGTAGGCGGGCCTCCACCGGCTAAGGCGCCGGCCAAGGCACATCCCCAGGCGCCGGCCAAGACGGGGCCTAAAACGGCGCCGAGGAGCGGAGTGGCATTCCCTCCGCTCCCCACTCCGACACCCCTGCCGGGCCCCTCCGCACCTGCCCCCTCCAACGAGGGTTGGCAGGAGGCGAGGGGCTCCAAGAAGTCCCGAAGGCGGGCCAAAAAGGCTGCCAAAAAAGCAGCCCAGGCCCAGCCTTCGCCACCGGTGGCAACGGCCTCCACAAAGAGGCCGCGGAAGCTGCAGCTGCCCAAAACCGCGGCTGTAGTGGTGACCGTGTCCCCGGAGGCGGCGGACGGCGGGCTGTCCTACGCGGCCGTCTTCAAAAAGGCCCGGGACAGCCTCGCCAACGACTTCGGAACGGTGGGGGTCAGGATGCGCCTCGCCCAGACGGGAGCTCGAGTTCTCGAGTTCCCTGGGGCTGAAGGCGCAAAGACGGCGGACTCCTTCGCTGAGAAGCTGCGGGGAATATTTGCAGCCACAGATGGTGTCAGGGTCGCCAGGCCTACCAAGTGCGCGGAACTGCGCATCTCGGGCCTGGACGACTCAGTGACGGCCGAAGATGTCCGCGCTGTAATCCGGGAGAAGACGGGGTGCAGCGCGGACAACGTCAGGGTCGGCACCATCCGCCCCGGTCCAGGAGGGCTTGGCGCCGTGTGGGTCAGCTGTCCCGTAGCGGTCGGCCAAAGTATTGGCCGACGCCGGCAGGCTGCTCATCGGTTTCGTGAGCGCCAGGATCACAGTCCTGGCGGCGAGACCGATGAGATGCTACAAATTGCCTGGCATCGGGACACACGCGCGTCAAGTGCGACAGTTGTTTTGACTGCGGCGGACTGTGTTTCCGCTGCGGTCAACCGGGGCATAAGGCGGCAGAATGCTCTGCCGCCCCTCACTGCCCAGTGTGTGCGGCGGGCAATAAGCCCGCCAATCACCAGATGGGGCAGAGAGGCTGCAAGCCTCCCCGCAGTTCTCGGCAGACGTCGGGGGGTAGCCAGTCGAACCCAGGCTGCCTCCGATGTAGTTCGTGCGTGGACGTCGTCGCCCATGGAGGAGGTTGTAGAGACGATCCAGTAATGGATCAAGTCTCCAACCTCCTGGT